ACTCGGGCAGATGTCCCTGCTCAGAGAGGCCTCCTGAGAATACTCTTTGTATCTTTGCAGCCCTTTCCTCTTTTTTCGGACTGTACTGTTCTCCTCTGAGTAGTCACGGCTTGCTTTGTGTCTCTCGCCACTAGCACTTTATGTGTCCCGCTAAATCCCCAAGGCGCAGTCATCAGTTGGTGCTCACTCAGAGCTCTGGAAAGGATGGTGATGGTACCTCATGCAGCACATTGATTTCTAAATCTGTTGGCACTCCAACAAGTTTGAGAAAAATCATGCAAAATTTATTATTGTGAATGGCTTCAGAGGATTAAACGTGACAATTATGTGCTCTAAGAGATGCCTGTGAGAAAACACCAGAGAAAACATGAACCTATAATACTGAGGTAAACAGTTACAAGTGTTTGCCATCCTTCCCATTAAAACTTTACAGGCTGCTTTTCTGAAGTCTAATACTGCTCTGCTTGTATCTACAGACCAAAGGGATTTGTCACCTGCCTTTGGCACTGGAAGAAATTATAGAGGTCAACTTTATTTACTGAAAGAGGTTTCTTAGAATATGCACGCTTAACTTTTATTCATTTTCCCTTAATGTTCCATTCCTGCCATATTTTACTTACTATAGCTCTGCCATAAAGGCCTTTTGTAACACTCTCTGCATCCTTCATCTTTACCATGATAGGTTTCCTTGTATCTAGAATCTAGCACAGTCCTCCACTGAGTACAGAGTACAGAGGGCATCGACATCTCTCTGGGTGTCATGCTCACCACAAACACAGGCTAACACCTAAGCATTTAGCCCTTCTACTCATGACTGTGAACTCCCACCAAGGGTAGACTTTGCATGTACCATGTTGGTAAGGTCATTAGCATATTTTCCTGCCAAATTCATGTCCTCAGGAATTTGCCACTTGCCTCTTTACTCCAATGAGTACCTGTGTGTTTTCCTTGATTGTATGTTAGAAACTGTCACACACAAAACCTCCCCACTTCAGGAGGTGGAGTTGTTAATCATTCCATCACCTAAGAGCAGCTATTTTGATGTCCACTGTCATTTTAATATGGTCTGTGCCCTCTAAAACTCATGATGGAATTTAATCCCCATTGTGAGATACTGCGAGGGTGAAAATTTAACCAAGCCATTATTTTTAGAGTGGGAACTCTATGAGATGATCTAGACTAAGTAAAAATCTAGACCAGAACCCTATGATAGAATCCTGAGATGTAAAAAGGATGAGAGAAAACAGATGAGAGAACCATGCGCACACTCTTTTTTACAGCCTTGCGTGTCTGCACCATTTTAAAACTCTGCCAAGAGGAAGGCCATCTTCAGACACAATCCTCATCCCTGGACCTCCAGAACAATGGGCCCAAGCTAACCTGCTTTTCTCTGATTTGCCTGGTTTGTGGGATTGTGCTGTTAGCAACAGCATATGAATAGCAGTAGTATGCCTTGTGTCAGGCCACTGTGAGAAAGACAATTCATCAGAACTAACAATAGCACATCGTTTCATTCCCTTCATGTGTGCTGCACAGTCTCATCAGTAAGGGGATGAACTGCACAATTGAATCTGTTTTTTGTCAGCATGTGCTGGTCCTTGGATATCATCTCCTTATGATTCATTCTCATAATGATATATATTTGGCTGTTTGGCCTTAATTTGTCCAGGGGTTGTTCACAAGCCTCTGAATTTCATTCCCCATTCTTATCTACTTTTTTTTTGGAAATTAGATAGAGGCATATTTTCCTTTCAATGGGCTATCAAAGCCTATCCAGGAATCCTGAGTAGTAACATCTGCATGCTATTTGAAAGCTTGGAATCTCAGGCCTGAAATCCTTTAAAGTTACTAAACATTGTCTTTCAAATCTTTATCTTTCTTGGTAACTGCATTGCTCTAATTCATTTACTCAGCTTTCAACATGTACAAGACTTTGTATTTTCTGATAAGGATACAGTTTTACACATAGGATTTCATAGTTAAATGAGAAAGACAGAAATACAGGAAGTTTCAACACAATATGATTGTTGGGGGTGTTGTGGGTGCTACCAGGTGCAGTGGGTTTGAATTTTGCAAAGACCCTGATGGCCACAGTGTAAAATGGGGATTGTCACACTAGAATGTGTAGGAGTCACTTGGGAATCCATCTAAAATGCAATTCTGACTTAGTACACCTGCAGAGGGAGCTTGGGATCTGTTCAAGTTCCCAAGTGAGAGGGGTGCAGTAGCCCCTGCAGGATACCTTGAGAGCAAGGCTTCCTACAGTCCACTAGGGGACAAGAAGGTCAGAGGCAAAGCATTGATTCTGAAGGTTTGGATGGAGTCTCAAAAGAAAATGATGATAGTACAAACCACAGGAAATGTGCTGCATTCTTCAAAGGTCTTAGTTTGATCTTCTTTGGAAAAAGTAATTATATTAAGTAGGTCTTGAGTATTTTGTACCTAATAACATCAGTACAGTTTGAATTTATAGGAAAGAGGAGTGGGGACATCTATTAAGTATAGGATAATCTTAATTACACCAACTGCTCTCAGTGCCCACAGTTATTTTACTTGTGGCAGAGATGGCTGGTTGATATGGGCGAATTGTGTTGCCACTGAGATTACTATGTTTAAGACCCAAGTCTTGTACCTTAGAATATGGCTTCATTTGAAAATCAGTTTATTGCAGATCTAATGAGTGTGTTTGTGGGCATAGAGTGGGCCCATAACCCACTTGACTGGCATCCTTGTAAATAGGGAATTACAAGTTCAGATATGGAAAAGCTACACAGTACTGAAAGCCAGATGATAAGCAAGGGTGCACACAGGACATTCAAGTCTTTTCTGGCACCTCTAGAGGGAACTCAGCTGGATGCATACCTAGCTGTTGGACCTCCAGCATCCACTACTTGTGAAAAAATAAATTCTGTGATTTCTTGCACTTTGACAGAGTAATAACTTGGTCTTCAAGTTTGACTTCATATTTCATTCTCAACAGTGTCCTATAGGAAATCTCAGCTAAATGTGCTTCTACTTCTTCTCATTATTTTTTTGTGATTTTTTTTAAATTCAGATTTTCGTTTTGATGACAGCTCCTATTTTTGTTAAGCTTCTTATGCAGATTTTTACTAATTAGTTCAACTCAAAGTTACACCCTTTTCAGGTTGTGACCTTGTGGTAATACATTTTGGGACTTGGGGGACATAATGGCTGTTGGTCTCCTTTAGTTCAGCAAAAGCAGGCTTTTGACAGCTGTTTATTTTTGAACTACAGAAGATTATTTCAGCAAAGCATGTTAATTATTTTGGGGCAATCCAGCAACCACAGAATTAAGTTCACAGAAAACCTACCTCAATATAAAACAATACCACTTTTGTAGTGTTTCAGGGACAAGAACTATGGTTTCTACTTCACAATTTACTTAATGTACCCTTTACTCCTTTATTATTTAAGTTAATCAAGCATTCCTCCTCACTTTCCTTTTAGAAACAAGTTATACTTGACATTTTTAAAAGAAGAGTCTTTGGATAAAATGAGGTTAATCAACCTAGGAGGAAGAGGAACTAGAAGTGCAGCGATGTTGTCTTCCTGGTAGATGTGTGCTCAGTGCCTAATTCTCTCTGGTTTTCTAATAGTAGCAGGAAATTGGTAAAAATTTCTTAAAATGGTCATTTATCTCATCACAATTTTTTATCTATCTAACAGAAATGACCTACTTCTTGTCCATTGAATATAAAAGCAATGGCAAGAATTTCAAAGAAAGGTATTTGGTTTTCATTAAACACTTTGCATCCTTGGAAAGATATGCTTCAATAACAACAGCAGAACCATTTATTAGGTATCCAAGATATCCTGGACCCTGCGAAATGAGCATATACTTTCCTCAATACACTCAATGACCTACTAGACAAGTGTCATTAATTCCTGCTTTATAGATATAGAATAGAATGCAAGACCTTACACCATGCTTTTTCAATGTCAACACAGCAGACCAAGAAGGAGTAGTACTAGGATTAAACTTCTGTCTCTCTGCTTTGAAGAGATACCAAAATCATGGACCCCATTTTGACATGCTCACTTCCTAGTCCTTAGTCCTGACAACATTCATGTTGGAATTGCTCTGGTGTGACAATGCTACTGGAGAAGCAAAAGCATTTGATGTTGCTTATTCATTTTGGCACACAGGTCCTGTGATCTGCATTTGAAGATTCTGACTCAGTTTCTCTTGAGTTGGACTTTTTTTAGCTGTTCATTTTTAAGTATGCTTTTGGTGATTGTCTTTTGAGTTTAGTGCATATTATTCATGTATCTATATTCAATAATGCAATAGTGGAAAGAACTAAAGAAATTATCTTTGGAGGGAAAGGCAACCAGCTACTGACTTGCCTAAAGACAATAGGTATTATTGGCATTCTTTTCTTTTGCAAACCACTAAAACTCAAGAAGAAAGAGGTTGCCATGCTCTTCTGTGCCCAATACCTAGTTAACTTTAGAGGTGTTTGAATGACCCTCCTCAAATGAGCGATCAGTAAGGGAAGGGAAGAAAAGCATGTCGGCAATGCTCTGAAAAGTTTGCTTAGAGAAGGAACAAATGCAGGAAGAATAAGTGAAAACCTTACAAGTTGTGATTCATTATTAATCCCACTCCTGTAATTCACAACAAATTGACTAATAGTCTGACTCCCTGTCTCCCTCCCAACACAAAATTACTGCATGTAGTAGATTACAAACTTGACTAGGAGAAGCAGCAATATTCCATTAATATTTATAAGTGTCATAATGCTCATATTTCCCATCTATTTGCAAAATCAGCCCACGTAATTAAAGAGAATTGGGGAATTATAAAGATGAAGATATCAGAAAAATTGCTCATGGAGTTATCAACACTGTTTTATCTCTACTTTTACATCTTAATGACTTAATTTTGCACAGATGGCACTTTTAAAATTTCTAAGTAAAAAAAAAGCAATTTCATTATTATCCAAGAAACACAGTCATTTTTCAGAGAGGAAACTTACATCTTTGGCTTTTCCACAAGGTATCGAAAATATTTACTTCCAATGATTTTCACCATGATCTCCGGCATTGGCTCTGATCTATGGCGGATCTTTGAAGCTGAAGACATGGTCTCTCTCCTAATCTTGCCAGATCCTTAGGGGTGAAAAATAAATAGGTCCTTCCTCTTGATTTCCCACCAGATAGTTATGGATTCCTCATCAACAATAACATCAGGACCTACTGGTGTTTGTGAAGGGCTTATATAGAGTACCACTCCAGTGACCATGTTAAAGATATTTGAAAACATCAGGGGGAACAGAAAGATCATTCAATCCATGATGTTCCCTAAATGCAGAAGTTGAAATTTTGGTGTGAAGGATGCAACATCGTTGTCCTTTGAGAAGTCAGGATGAAGGCTGGTCTGAGAAACCTTGTTAAAACAACTCTCTTCAAACCTCCCCAGATAATTCAGTTGCTCTATTTAGACCATTCCCTACCTGGTTCTGATGTAAGCAATTTATTCTAAACACTTTCTTGAGAAGTCTCACTTCCTTACTGGGGATGGGGTGGCCGCTTCTGTGCTATCTAAAGCTTGTATTATTTAATGCATATGTGTAAAGCGTATTTTATATAATGCATATGCTTCTTTCCTGTTAATTCTCGGAATAACCAGGGCCTATGAAGATTGGGTAAAAGGTTGTCACACCATACCTCATCTACTACTCCCGATAAAATTACCTTTTTAAAATTACATTCATGGTGTATGTGGGCATGTGCACGTGTGTGTGTGTGTGTGTGTGTGTGTGTGTGTGTGTGTGTGAGAGAGAGAGAGAGAGAGAGAGAGAGAGAGAGAGAGAGAGAGATTCAGAGAAGAACCTGATGCAATCAGTTTTTTTATACCATGTTTCCCAGAAGTGAGCTCAGGCTGAAAGGCCAAGTAGTCCCCCCAGTCAGGCTGTGAGGTTCTATTAATAACCACCACTCTTCTTGTTTTGCCACTGAGGAATAGGTAGGTGTAGCTAGAGCTGTCAATTCCAGAAGGACTACAAAGTACACGTATTGAGTCCTTAGATGACTAATCTTTTTACTACAGGGCCTGGTATGGGATTATCCTGAGGCCAGAGTTGAAAGCTCGGCTTTAGTAGAACACTCCAATCAAAGATCAGCTAGGATACTCTTGTTCACCATCTGTGATTCCTGTTAATGCTCAGAGACTTCTGGTGAAGACAGAAGACAAAGTGATTGAAGAGGCATTTTACTTTAAAGAGGACTCCTTAGCTCCCATCTGTACCCACAACTACCAGACGCTTTAGCTGGCTTTTTGGAACCCACTCCCTCTGGTCGGGGTGGGGGTTGCTTTGCTCAACCTTGACGCAGGAGGGAGGAGCTTGGTTCTGCCTCAATTTGAGATTCCAGGCTTTGTTTTCTCCTGGTGGGGAGTCCTTACCCTTTCTGAGGAGTGGGTGGGGCCAGGGTAGAAAGAAGGTGGGGAAGGGAACTGGAGGAAAGAAGGGAAGAGGAACTGTGATAGTATGTGAAATAAATTAAAAAAAATTAAAAGAAAAGGAAAGAAAAGAAAACCTTCTTGAAGATAAACCCAGGATGTTTAAGCCAGACTGGTGATAGGTGAACCCGGCTGATCACTTCTTTCCAGAGAATTCAAAGGCATCTAGAACTTGCTCTAATTTAAACACTGGCTTCGCCAATTGAGAAATGGAGACCCAAACGCTTTCTCACTAAAGTCTTCCAGATTGGAGGGGGGAGGAGAGGGTGGAGGTCTCTCCAGTGTTCTGCTCTAATAGCTAGGGCAGGGACCTTCCTTAGAGTACAGTTTACTTAATGTGTACAGCGCTAAAGCCCAGAAGAGACCCATCCAGCCCACCTCAGGCTCTCTGAAGCTGTGGGTGTAAAAAGTCAAAACTGGGATTTGAGACTATCAGGTTTCCTATTTGCCCCACAGTGGGATATCAGCCTTGAGACCATCCCCAGAAGGGACCAGAGGGGCAGGCATTCTTACCAACGAGGAGCTTCCTACCCAGGAAGTTCAGAGGTGCGAGTGCTTCTGTCAGAAAAGCAACCCAGAATGTTGGCAAGGAGCTTCGGAATCCAGCCAATCACAGGACCTGGCTCTAGGCAGGGACCTTGCTCTCCGGTTGCTAAGGACGCACAGAGGTTGTTGCTGGGCGGGAACCAGATTTCTCTTCACCAGCGACCACAGTCTTCCTGAGGGTTGGGGAGGGAGCAGTTGTCCCAGGCTGTGGTTGCTGACAGGAGGAAGCTGGATATTTTGAAGACTGTGCTGAAAGGGTCTGGAGCCTTGCCAGAAGTCTGTCCTGTTCACCTCTGAACTGATGCTGCCCCGCCCTTCCGCTTAGGTTTCTGCTTTCTAAAACTTGCTCAAAGTTGAATCTGTAGATTAACCCGTGCTTCGGACCTGCTGTACAGAGATGCAAAGAACGAACAAACAAGATGATTTGTTAACATTAAATACATTTAGAACACTTGGAGATGTAACTCAGCTGATAGAGTACTTGCCTAGCCTGCATGAGGGTCTGTGTTTAATCCCCAGCATGAAGACCTGGGTTCTTTTCCTAGCACTACATAAAAAGGATGCGATGGTGAGTGCGTATAAGCCAAGAAGAGGAGGTCCAGAAGTCCAAAATCATTCTTGGCCCATGGTTCTGGTTAAGTCTTTACACATGAGACTCTGTCACAAAATAAATTAAATTCTAATAATAACCTTGAATGCCATCTACATGCAAGATCCCTTATTTGAGTCAGATATTGCATTATTGACAAATGGCAACTAAACAATTTACTTTTATTTTAAAGAACAAATAACTGAAGTTTGGGTGTTGTGAACTCACTAAGACCCTGCAGAGGCAAGTGAAGGAGCTCAGCTATCACAGGGCCTCTCTGATCATGTCTCAAATATCTCTTCAGTTCTAGAAGCCCATGAATTGCATAGTTTGTTCTCAAGATAGATTGGTCCATTCCAGCTTAAACACTGCAATTTCTGTTTGAACAAACTTCTAATGTAGTGTTCTCAATCTTCCTCAATGTTCTGGTATCCCCCAACCATAAAACTATTTCATTGCTACTTCATAACTGTAATTTTGCTACTGTTATGAATCATAATGTAAATATTTTATATGTAGGATATCTTATATATGATCCTCATGAAAGGGTTGTTTGACCCACAGGTTGAGAACATCTGATCAAGTGGATAACACACCCAGTGGAGTTAGACTTACTTAGTGTAACCCAATGTATCCCTCCACCTAAATAACTTTTTCATCCAACTCAGATTTCTAAGTTCTCTGTCCTGTGTTTAAATACTGTAAATGTAGGTAATGACACTTTAAGTTGACTCCAAATGATATTGTATCGGGTCCAACATTCAAGGACGTGCCTTCAGCCCCTGGTCTGCTATGTTTGCAGTTCTACTGTGGCCTCTGCTGCCAGTCGCAGGCAGAGAAGGATGTCCTTACTTCAGGATCTCATTCTCTGGCACTTGGGAGGCACAGGCACATTTCATGATGTAGAGTACCACGGGAGCAAAATAGAAAGGCAACACCCTCTCCCATCTACAGCCCTCTTTTCACGTTTCTGCTCAGCCTTCCCATGGCCCAGCTCTAACAGAACCTCTCCTCTACTCATGTCTCAAAGATCTCAGCAGCCCCAGAGGCCCATAGCTTGCATATTCCCATCTTACTACAGGCTTAAACTCAGCAATTTCTGCTCTATTAAACCTCTAATGAATAGAGCACTCCCTGGATTGAGTTTCTCAGTATAAATTTCCATTCTCCTAGATAACTTTCCCATCTAACTCTTTCTTGGAGATGGTATTTTCTATTCCAAATAATCTTTGTGAAGCTCTCATTTAAAATGTTCCTTCAACAGTACATCTTCTTAAAACTGATCAGACTATTTATTGACCAACAGACTTTAGAAACCAAGGAGGGACTATCAGGCAGTGAGGATGAATGCTGAGACTTTTGGTGCATGTTTGTATTCAAATACTCTGTTTGGAAAGCTGTTCAATGGAGCGAAGCAGAGCTGAGGATGAAACATGTGGAAAGGAGGGGTCAGCACAGAGCCTGGGTCTTCCTGGGCATGCAATGGGATTTAGGGATGTCAGAAACAGGTGTGAACAATGTCCCATTTGCTGAAGATATTTTGAGATGGGCCTTTGTTAATAGTTACGCCTAAAGTCACCATTGATTCTCTTGAGAGTGCAGATTCCCTTTAAGGTTCAGATGTGGGGCACAGTTAGTCAACTGCATGGTATGGTGATTTGCATAGGTGTAGCCTGCATGGGCCCTGGTGTCTGAATGCTTGACCTATAGGAAGTGGCATTATCAGGAGTCGTGGCCCTGTTGAAGTAGGTGTGACCTTATTGGAGGAAGTGTGTCACTGTGGGGGTGGGCTTTGAGGTCTCATATGATCGGGATACACAGTTCATTTCTTGCTGCCTATGGATCAAGAAGTAGAACTCTCAGCTCCTCCAGCACCGTGTCTGCCTACCTGCTACCATGCTTCTTGTCATGGTGATAATGGTCTAAATCTCTGAAACTGTAAGCCACCCAATTAAATGCTTTCCGTTATAAGAGTTGCCATGGTCATGGTGTCTCTTCATAACAATAGAAACCCTAACTAAGATGGCATGTCCAGTGTCACTGTAAATTCTGGTGTGAAACTTGAAGGAACCATGAATTATGTCCTTTGACTTTATAGGTTTTACAATGGCCAACGTTAACTAATAACACTAGCAGAAAGACAAAAATTGTTATGTTTTTCAGACCCAAGGGAATTTCTGCTTTGCAACTTCTGAACCAATAAGCATGAGCATGCCATCTAATTATTTTGTCTGTAAAGTGGAGACAAACAATAATAACTGCTTCTGGGTTGCATACTAGGTGCTCGAAAATATCCCCAAATAAGTCCCAGGCATGCAATAGACTATGCATTTATTTGTAATAATGCAAATAACACTGTGGATATTTATCATGTGCTAAGAGCTTTACCATCAACACTCCATGGTATTAGTCATAACAATAAAGACCATTAATTCTCTTGTTTTATAGAGAGGAAGCTGAGCTTAGCAAAGACACCTTGCTTGTGGGA